GTCACCGACCCATCTCATGCAACAACTGCTAGCTTTCGTTCACCCGCTCCTCAAGTCACTTATAGAAAGGTTCTCAGAACCTATCTTGAGAAGCGGCGGGCCCCTGGTTTCTCCCCCTGCAGCCACCTGGGCAGCTTCATTCCTTGACACGGTCCACAGTGTTTGGCAGGTTTGACCTGCCCCAGCCTTTTTGCAACCTCGTCAGGCGACGTAGCAACTGAGAAGCATCGGCCCCTGTCCATTTTGGTAAGGGCCACGGCCAGTTTTCACAGCAGGGGCTGCCCAAGAATCTGCTCTGGGACTTGAGTGTGCGAGAGTCAATCGTGGTGCCTTGCAGATTTTTGGGCAGACCTCTTGTGGATTTTGCGAAAGGTAGGCGGCAGCAGCACTATTTCGATGTTCCATGGCATTGATCTTATCATATTACCATACCAATAGGTATGCTGATATGCTGCTTCTGCCGCCGGCTCCTGTGTGGGCAACTCGCAGTTGGCTCGGCCCAACCAACTCTCGGACAGAGTTGCGGCCTATGCGTCATGACTCAGGAACGGCTAAAGACGTAGGACCGACTGTCGGTATGTGGTGCCTGGCTCCAAAAACACGTCGGCAGTCACAAAGGCCCAATGTGGCTTGGCCAAGCACCTCGCGACACACCCGCAGTCAGCCACAGATGTAAGCTTGTTCAAGCCTTGGGGGATTCCTTCAGTGATCGACGACTTTGACGCCGACGGTTTTGGTGCCAGGTCTAACTTGAACGGCGCGAGTGTCGCCAGCAGCAGTGTTTCGCATGGGCTCCTTTGTTTGGTCTATCGCATGGACTCCTTTCCTTGAGGTCCTGCTAGTGCAGGTGCCCAGCTTGCTATGCAGTTTGAACTTTGGGGAGAGTTGCAAAAGAGAGCTGGCACACTTGCAGATCAGGCTGAAGTTTTGCGAGAGAGCATGCGGCAAGCACCTCGACCAGCCAGAACCCAGCATGGGGCATCCCCCACCTCACCACGCAACTTCTCCACACACCTACCAAGCCCTGGTCCCAAATCCCGCGGAGCTCTTGGGTTGGACGCGACCTGGGAATTGGGATTTGCATGCCAAGAAAATGCGAGCTGATTTTCACTGGCCTGTGCCATGTTGATTTGGAAGCCGGCGCACGCTTGCCTGCTTGCCTGCATTTGCCGAGCTTGGGCAAAGCAACCCCGCTCATGAAGGCTTCCTTGAAAGAGCCTGTAGCCCCATTTGGGGATTGAACGCGGGTGCGGGTACTCTCAATTCAGGCAAGTGCTCAAGCACGCGGCAAGTGCTTTTCTGCCGCCTCGGCCCTTTAGTGCGGAGGCAGGCTTTGCGTCGATACATTGGCTGGGATGCTGTCAGAACATCGGAAGAGCTAGAAAATGGTCCCAGCCTATCAGAACCTCAGACCCATGTCAAGGTTGACAGTTGTTTTCCCAGAGCCTACCTGTTTCTTCACATCACGCGCCTGGCCAAGGAGGCATCTGCTTCCTAGACTCGGAATGTGCCATGGATCTCAATCTGCATTCAGACTCAAGATCAGTGGATGCCAGTGTGCGGCAAGCATTTTCGCCCGACCGAGATCCATGGGCCCGCTCCTTCCTCGTGAAAGGGCCCCGTTGGCGACCCCGCATCAGCTCCTGGGCTCACGGATGAGCTCAGCTGCAAGCCGCTTGCCTTTTTTTGCGGGCCTCTGAAGATAGGAGGTGGCCCGGGCGACGCCCGGATGCATGGCCTCGATGGGCCGAAATTAGCGGATCCTCGGCACCGGGTGGCGTGTCACAGTTCCAGCGACCGGCTTGTGACACAAGCCATTTGAGCTTCTACATTGGTTTGATGCAAGCCCCAAGCCATGACTTTAGCCCCAGCATGAAACATCATGAAACGGTCGCACATCAGTTCCCTCCCGTTTGGATGCCGCACGCCATCCCCCGTGGCAGAGATCCAACTTTGACTTGGCGTCGTGAGTGCTGTGGAAACCTCGGATCAATGAGTCTGCCTTGGAATATCGGGTGCTCCGAATCAGTTTGTTTCAAGAGGGACTGCTTCGGCAAGTCCAGTCAGGATTCATCCGAGGTTGATAAGAAGGCCAAATGAATACATGGGTTCCACTGGGCTGTCACCAGCTTATCTTTGTCAACCTTGTGCCCCTCATGTTCTGCCAGTCAAAGCTCTGCATTTCGTGGCACACGATGCCACCCTTTGGTGTCACTAGTCGAACAATGCGGGCCATCCTGAAGTGGCCGCGAAAGCCTTCTGAGACTTCTGATTCGATCCAAAGACACATAATGAACCTATGACGCGGGTCAGGGAAAAGCACCATGATCGCCGGCCCGCATCGCGATGATAGTAAGGTTTGGCACATGCCTTCCATCCAGTTGAACCAGGAAAGGATTGAAATCCATGGGGCTACCGATTACCAGTGTTCAACTGCCAAAACAACTTGGAAATTCAGGGCTGAATGATGCACTCAAACATTGGCGTCGTCAGTTTGACCGGATACTCTGTCGGCGTGGGAGTGGCACTTCCCAATCACTCTCGCAGGACCACGGTCTATATTCCTGTTTGAGGGATGTGAACGGGTTCCACGATGTTCAAGCGAATTGGTGCAGCTGACCTTGAGCGATGAATCGGTTTGTTGCCGCGCTGCGCGAATCGGCACGTGAACACTGGCGCCCCTCTGCGATGTGCCGCGCCGTCAGTCAAAGGAATCTAGACAGGGGGAGGGCTGCGATGTTCCGCGCGCTCTTCAGCGGGATCTCAGCACCCGCCGGGTCCCCAAGCGCGGATGGCATGCTTCTTCAGGGGTCAGTGCTTTTGACACAGACGGGACGTTCGGTGATGCTGCTTTGCTCACCCTTCCGCTTCTGGAAAAACGACTGTAGTCAACTTGCTCATTGTTTGCATATGGTTTGATTGCCAACTGCAGTGGGTCATAGAAAGTCAAGGACACGCCATGTTCAATTTTGCTTTTCTAAAGTGCCAATGCTGTGACTAGGTTTGGGTGACCTTGCCTTTTGCATTCTGCATGGTTCCTTGGAGCCTTTTACCACCCTGGTTCTCAACGGCTCAATTATCCCAAGCCGGAGCAGTAGTCCCGGTGGCTAACCTTGTCCGCTGATAAGTGCCGCGGGACTGGCGGTCCGCGGCGCCTTGGAATGTGTGGCAGCACGGGGCTGTTTTATCCAGGGCCGACACGACACCAGCATGGACACCAGCAAGTTTGGATGTATGCCATAAAGAAGCAACCTGCCCATCCTGCACCAGGGATCGCCATGCGGTCAGTCTTTCTTTTAAGGCCTCCTTGATTCGCGTTTGTCTGTTGAATCTTGCTGCCCCATATGTGGCAGCATGTAGTCTGAAGGCTGGCTTTCTCCCAAGATCTCCCAAGCGTTGTGCTTGCACAAAACTGTGCCTAGAATGCTGGGTAGTGCGGTTTTGGTGCGGCTTTGCCTTCGAGAGCCGAGGAGATTGCCCTGGCCGCCGCTGTCGGCGTGGCTGGGGGCTACTACACCTTCGCCCCAGCGATCCAGGCGGACTGATCCTGTTGCCCCCAACGCTCAACACAATTTGGGCGTGGGTCAAAATTAACCCACTAGGGGACCGCAGGTTTTGGTCCATGTTTCCATTTACCAGGGCTCCATTTTTGGTACCTTTTTTTTTGATCCACGGCCATTTGTTAAAAGACCAGGCTTCCCTAGTCCACTCAACAGCCTCGAGCCCCGAAACCCTGATGTTCATCTTCCCTCGTGCGCCAGGAGTTCCAGCGGCGCCAGGAGGCGGTCCTGGCCGAGCGGCAACGGCGGAAGAGCGAAGGCCAAGGGGCTAGGTCGAACGCCTGGGTTGGGGCCCAGGTTGGTAGTCGGTGTTTATCGATTTTCCAATTTCCCAACCAGAAAGCAACGGGGAACTTACTCGAAGTATCGTCATAGGTTGGTAGGGATCGATGTTTATCGATGTTGCTTCCCAACCAGAAAGCAACGGGGGACTTACTTGGAGTGTCCCACGCCCTAGCCGCACATGACCGGAGGTCATTGGGGGGCGGGGGACGCGGCTGCTTCACGACGTCTTGATGGAACTTGCCAGCTATGAGTGCTTTTGCAAGACAAGTCTTGGTCGCTGGAGAAATCCTGCAGATCCACATCTGCAAGCGCGCCTCAGGTGACTCCACTGCGCCAGAGGGACAGGCTGGGGCTAGGGTCAGCAGCAAAGGGAGGCTCTCGGAACATGGAACCGCGGTCCATCCGACATCAGCGCCTTTCTGCAGTTGATATGCGACTTGTCAAATTGAGAAAGCATCAGCCAGAGCAGACGTGAGTACTCAAATCTTGGCAACTCAGCGCACAAGCTCAAAGCAAGTGGCACCGTCAAACGGAGACATTCGCGTGGGCAATGTATCAATGACGGCCTTACGAAACGACATATGGGACAAACCTTAGCATTGACGCTTTGGCGAACTTGGGCTTAGCTTGGCCATCATACTTTGAAGAACCACTCTGGCAAACGTGGCGCTGTGTTTGGGCGATGTGACGTGTGTTGTCATGGGTGCTGGCCACACACTCATGGCAATGATGCAGTCGCCGCCAGGTTGAACCGAGGCAAAAGACCTGAGCTGCAGAACAAAAGAGTCACGACGGCGGCATCGAACATAGGCAGTATTTGACCTATTGATTCCCTTGAGCGGCTGCCATTCACGCACTCGTTTCGTGCAATTTTGGCTGAGTCCAAAGTTGTTTGCAGACGAACTGACTCGACACCAACCATGCCGATGAAACTGCAAGACCCTCACTCCAGCGTCCTTCTTGCTTGCCACAAAACCAACGACTTCACATCACTTGCCGAAAAGAAGTGAGCCCATCCCTGGACAAGTATGAGGTTGACAAGGTATGCTGTGTCAGCGTCTGCCCGTTGCTTCGGACGTTTTGCGGCATGAAGCCAAGCTGCCCAAATGAGTTTCGGACATGGAGAAGCCTGAGTGGAGCCTGGCTTCCTGGGGCTTGGCTCAAGCCTTAGGGCCTTAGGGCGTGACACAGACCTGGTGGCAAGTGCCGGAGCCAGGCCGGTTCGGGTCGTCGAAGGTGCCGCTTGGCGTTCGCACGCTGAGCTTGTTCCCTGAGGCATTGGGGCGAGGCACTGAATCGGTTATCCTGGACATCGCCATGCTATCTGGTGCCAAGATGAAAGCCTCCAACCAGCCTCAGGGATGCCACAAGCATTTTGAAGACAGGGCGACACTTGCTGGGGGAAGCTGTGCCCAAGTCGGCTTTGCTATTGTACCCTGCCAGGCTGGCAGGCCCTGCCCTCAGCCGTGCGAAGTTCAGCGTTTCGGTAGGTTGGCTGGCGCCAATGCCGGGGGCGAAGTGGGCAATTCGACGCTCTGAAATTAGGATGAAATCCAAAGACTGCTCGAAGAACCAGCTTCAAGTCGAAATAGACTGAGCATGACTGCGTCCAAGCCAGCGCCTGGACCATGCCACGTAGCAAGCCATCAAATCCAAAGTGGTTGGTAGCTCTAGGGCGGTCTGAGGCCTGCTCCAGGCCTCATGTGCGAGATGCGAGCTGGGGACCCAGCCGGCAGCTTGTTTTCTATCGGGTCCCAAGGTGCCAGGGTTCAGATCCGAAAAGGCCCCCACTTGCTGGCGAGAGCCATGGAGGAAATGCAGCAGACATGAAGCTGCATTTTCGTTGGCTGCAATGCTTGCAGAAGTTGCCTTTTCTTGGACAAATCCCGAGTCTTGGTTTGGGGGCCTGGCAGGGCTTGTTTGACTCAGCCATGGGCCAGTTCGCGTTCCACACAAGCACGCTGTAGTGTCTAGAAAGCCCACCGTCCAACACATCCAAAGAGCTTTTACGGCTCGCCCTTGGGCAACTCTGCCCCTTTGTGTTTCGGCCGGCTCCACTGCTCTGCAGTTGAGGGCGACCCAGATTCCTTCGCAAGGTTTGCGGGCAGCTCTGCTTGGCATCGCAGGAAGTCACCGCAGAAGACCTTCTCAAGTCCTCGAAGGAGGTTGCGGACAAGGTCGAGCCGTGGGAGCCAGGCACTGAGTGAGAGTCTCTTACTGCTGACAGACCGTATACCGCCCCTTCGGTGTTGCCACGCAAGGCCTCGCAACGTTGTTAATGGGCATCGCTGCACTTTCTACCGTGCAATGGCACGGGCCTTGTGTTTGCAGACCTCAAAAAAGCGAAAAAAGCAAGTCTCGACATGCAGCGAAACTAGGAATCCCATATATGCAAGAATCAAGACATGGCCCCTACCATGCGAACACATGGACCTAGGTCCGGCAGTTTCACATTCGTGAAGAAGCTGGAAGACGCGGCGCGCAACCACGGGAGGGTTGACGCTCCGCTGCAATCATTATCCACAGTCACATGATCCAACAGTGCGTGCGACGCATTCTCCCACGCACGCCAACGACGAAACCAAACAGCTGCAACCTTTGTCAATCCCCTTTGCCAAGCTAGGGCATCGATGGATGTCGATGTCTGCTTCTCCTGAGGACATGATGAGCGGGACACGGTACCAGGCTGCTGTGGCCACTTGGCAGGCATCTAGCAGGCCATCGTAAAATAAGCCCGGCTTTGCAGCTCAACGTGGAGGGTTCAGAGCCGCTATGTTTCAGAGTTTGTCTGGAGCTGGGGGGTTTGTTCGTATTTTGGCTGCAGTTGGGGCCAGAAGTCCTCCTTTTTTTTCCAACATCTTCCTTTTTTAGCGTTCCACATGCCAGTAGTTGGAAAAAGATAGAGTGGACACTGACAGACTGGGTGGTCTGTCCGGGCTGCATGCTCTATTGCTGGGGCTTCAGGGAATCATGCCCAAGGAGTGCGGGTTGAGAGCCTTCAGACTGAGATGGGAATGTTGCACGTAGATCTGGAGCTGCATGCTGAGAGCTGTTTTAATGAATACCGCTGTGCGCTGACAGCCGCTGCAGGCTGTAAAGAAGATGCCCAACAGCAGCTTGGAATGCGATTTGACCGTCTCTTGTCTCTAAGCCCCCCCTGTGAGAACTAGGGCTGCTGGCTGGGAGCGACCGGAGCCTTGGTAGATGCTGCTGTCCATGTTGCCTTCCTTTCGTTTTGATTGCTTTTGTCCAGTCTCTTTTACAATGTGTAGTGCAGCAGTTGAGGGTTTGCTAGCCTAAAGTCTCATTTTCCGTGATCGTTACAGGGCCGAGCTTTGCGCGCAGCACTGACGTATGTGTATGCCATACATATATAATATATACAGTACATATATATATATATATGTACACATGTAGGTCTGTAGGTTAGTGCATACATGTATGTACATTTGCTATACAAAGATGAAGCGTGGGGCAAGGACATCCACTCCCCAGCGGGCTTTGGGCTTCTAAACCGACGAAGCTGCAATGACACCAGCGTACGGCGCAAATGGGCTTTCGGCCAGAAGGCCTCTGTCTTTTTTGAGGGCGCCCCTTTTCGTGGTTTTTCAGAGAGGAGCCAAACGCATGGTTGTTGTTGGGAAACATTTTACATTTTTGCTTATTGTGCGTTTAGTGGGAAATCCCCACTTAACAGCTAACATTTTAATTTTTGCTCCCCTTCCAACGTCAACCAAGACAGGAAAACCCGCATTTTGGGGGTGCTTTAAGGAACACATGTATATGTTTGACCAAGGCTGGGTGGCAAGCGGGCCGGACGAGTTCGCGAAGAAACATCCCTCGGAGTGCGAGTGCCCGTGGCGCAACATCGGGCTGATGGCCGAGCTGAAGAAGAAGGCGTGGCCACAGAAGACAGAAGAGGTGTCTTATTTTCCTTTCCTTTGCTATCCTTTGAGGTGTTGCAAAGGAAACTGAACAAGTACTCCCCCCCCACCCCCATAAAAGTACCCCCCCTTTTCCCCTCACCCCCCACCCATTTTAGGGGGGCACTAGTAGATTTACCTGGCAATGTGTTGGCCAGTTGCCCGCGTGGCTGGCTTCCAGCGAACCGTGGCCAGGGGTTTTTCACGCCTGCGCAGGGCTTCCACGCGACGTGCCAGCTGCTTGACGTTTTCCGGGATGAGCACTACACCTATGCGGGGAGCCCCGGAACCTCTCGGGTTGGCTTCTGGATGGATTATTTGGCGTGATTTGTTTTTTAATCGAATCAAGGGCCAACATGTCATGTGTCCCAATTGGGTCATGCTGGCAGCAGGTGAAACCGGAGTGCAAGACTGATCCCAAGTTAGTGTCACTTTGCGTGAAAAACTCGGCAGACCGATTGGGACTCTCTGAGGCAGTCAGTGAGATGGCGACAGGAGGTGCGATGGGAAGACTTGGGCTGCGGCTTGGGGCCACTCCTTCCTTTGCGTTGGCCGTTGGTTTGCTGATTCATGCGGGAGCCCCTGAGGGTTTCAGCCTATGCTTCCTGGAGCCTTTCTGCTAAAGCTGTTGACTTTACCCTGGCAAAAGATCGCATTGCCATGGGGCAGTGGGCTTTAGGTGGTCTGGGCATGGGTTGATCAAGACGGGCATGACTTGCGAACGACTGGCATGGCGTTTTCGTTGCCTTGGTGGAAACGCTAGGCATGTCGCCATAGCTTGAACAGTGTTTGTAGCCTCGGATCCAACAACTGCAGCCAGGGATGTAGCCCGTCGCTTCTGCCTGCCAAATCGGCTCAGGTGGTTGTAGCCCTGGAAGCTGCATGTTCTGTGTAGATGAAAAGCTGTGCGTCAGAGTCATGTCCCCTGTGCCCTGACAACAGGTCCCGATATGCTGACTGCTCGGCACAGTCGTTTGTGGCACCAGTCAAGTTTGAGCAGCGGTCAGGCGACCTATTTTCCTGGTGCTTGAGTCGGCAAGACCCAACACCCGAGCGGGAGGACTGCCTGATTATGATCCTTGCATTGGACGTACCCCAGAAGAATACCCCGAACGTGAGGCCTCCAACTTGTTTATCCCTTGGCGCTTTGCGGTCCCAAACGCTTGATTTCCCAACATGGAGGCCAACAGGGCAAGCACACGCACTTGGGGTGGGGCGTTGCTTCTCTGGAAGTTGGATGAGCTCAAGAATCTTGCACAAGCAGAATCAAAGAGTCAGCAGGCAAAGGGGCCTCAACAATGATGAACCGGAAGGCAGCCATGTCCAATGGCAGTGGTCAACTCGTGAGGCAGAGATGCTTCCTCTGATCGCCCAGACATTCTCGGCAGTGGAGTGGTTGCATGCGTCGGGGCCTCCAGAAACGAGGTCAAAGAGTGGGATTTCCGGCCAGGTGTGTGTTTGTGTGTGTGATGTCGTTAGGAACGTGTCTGTTGTGGCGTCGGTGTGGGGGCGACAGAGCCTTGGCCATCAATGTGAAGGTGGCAGAAATCCCGGGACAAAACTGCATTCCGGCTGTGGTTTAGATAAACATAGATAAACCCTTTGGGGGATCGGGGTTTCATCTTCTTCACGCCCTTAGACTTTCTTGCAAGTGCGACGCAGGGTGCATAGACAGTTGCTTGTCTGAATGGGGCTTCGATGCTCAACTGCACCATGCCCTTTTCGCGAGCCTTTGGTGCTTGCGTCAGCCCAAGCCTGGCGAGGCTAGGGATTGCGCATCGCGACTTGTCACTGGAGAACATTTTGCTTACAGGCACGGGCTGGGGCGGCCAGCGAGGACGAAAATGCCAATGCTAACCAGGGGGTGGAAATTAGCCGGAATAGTACTGAGTTACTACAGTTTGTTGTTTAAGAAGTGGAGGTGACAAGCTCGGACAGGCTAGTCCCCTTGTGCCCAACCCCCAAGTAGTCCAAGCACCCTCCAGCTGGACAAAGGGGGATGGTTGGCTGGCTTCCCGAAGGTCGTGGGAGTATCCTTTGGCTCAGCCCCATATTGGTTCCCACAGTTGCAACCGCGTTCCGGGGCAACCAAGAATGTACTGTAGGTTTTGAGCCCGGTCCCAAAGAAACAGAAGGGAATCCTTCAAGACACTTGTGAGTCAGTGAGGTGCTTGATGGTCTACTTTCGAGTGCTGAGCATTGGGGAAGGGCTTGGAGTGCCTTGTTTGCTACACAGGCTGATGTTTCGCACCCATTCGGAGAAAAGAAGCGGCTGGGGACCAGGCGCGGCCCAGAGCGTGAAGATCATTGACTTTGGCATGGCGCGGGCGCCAATTCGGGCTAGTGTGGATGAGTGAAGTGAGGTTTCAGCCTCCAAGCTGCATGGTCCATGGTGCGTGGCATATTTGAGACTTGGCTCTTTGCCATCAAGCTCTCGCAATGCCTTTCGGATGTTGCGAGAAGCTTGGACTCATGAACTACGTTTAACTAGCATTAGGCAGTAGAATGTGCGATCGCCTTTTTGAGTGGCTAAGTTGCTTGCAATTCTAACGCTTGTTTGCGCTGTTCCAGCGATTGTTGCCAGAAAGGCGTGTTTTCAGCTTCATGTTGACGCCGTGGGCATGACACAGCACTCTATGTTTCAGATTGTTGCACAGGGCACTCGGCCATGTCTATGGCGGTCATGGCGCGTGTCGTTTGGTTCCTGCTTTCACTTGAGCCTGATGATCTGATGGCGGAGTTGTTTTTCTACACGGCCACATGCCGAGACTAGCTTGTTTGGACTGGCTTTCATGTACATATGGAGAAAGCTGGAGACTATCATGTTACTGATGGTCGGCCTGGGGATTTATGAATTGAGTTTGCACTTGGCCCCCCCCGTGCCCTGCCAATTCCTCATCTGCAGGTCTACTTGGGAAGGACGTGTCCCCCAGCTTCCACACTGGGCCCAGGCCCGAAAGGTCTGGCTGTGGGCCAAAATCTAAATCGGTTAGCCCCCAGTGAACATCCGATTCAATCCCGGCTATAGGTTCTAAAATGGGTGGTGAATTCGCCTACCCCAAAAATGGCACCATCGGTTTTGACCCGCAGCCACCTGTCAGCGATAGCCAGACATCCCACGATGAACGGCCGGTTGACGCGCTGCCTGTGTTCAGCTTGCTTCCGACTAGCCATCTTCCAATCGTGCGAGGCAAGCCTTCGTATCAGGCGCCTGAGCTTCACAACAAGAGCCGGGCACCCAAGCAAACAAAACCACGTTGGGCTAGATTGCTCGTGGGTGACAGGCTGCGGCACCCTGGATGTTAGAAGATCAACGTGCCACGCGAATCCTTCAGCGTCAAATGAATGCGGCTCATTGCAGCTCTCGTTGCTTCCCTGCTTGGCACCTGTCGCGGCATCCCAAGCCAAGGGGAATATGATGGCTTCCTTGCGGATGCCTTCTCACTGGGCGTGGTGGTCTATGCCAGGAGCTCAGATGTTGCACGCCGGAAGCCATTGGTTTCAAAAAGAGGAATGCCAGTTCCAAGGAAGCGGGGTTCCATGTCAATGTGCAGGGGTCGTGACTGGCGGGCAAGCAACTGTTTGCGGTGACTCGCTTCAGAGATGCTAGATGGTCGTATTGATTATTTACGTTTGAACGAAGCGATTGGTGGCTCATGGCCCTTGTTTTGAATCCGTCGAATCTCATGTTGTGCCCTGCTCCCAGCACCAGGCAGAAACTCAACCCTACCATTCGCTCCTGCTCTTCCATCGAGCCGGCCGAAAGGTACTGAAAGGGGGTTGGAAGCGTGTCGAAAGCTATCACAAGCCCAATGGAGAGCAGAGGGGTAGGCTCGACGGCTTGAGGCCATGGCTCTGGGGAACTACCCGTGGCAGTCCACTAAGCCTGGAAGGTCGCGGATTTTTGACTGGGTGTTCTGCGCGGCCCTCAGGCCCTCAGGGACAGGACACGAAACACGTGGCAGGCCTTCCTTCCTTGAGCTGTGCACCACCAGCACCTTCGAGAGATCCCCAAGAATGAGCGCCCCAGTTCCTATTTTATCTCAAGAAGGCAAGGCTTCCCTTGCAAGGAGGCAACTGTGGCCCAAGCTGAGAACATGGTTGAGCACAGCCTTGCGACCAGTTCATCCTTTGCCCGCCCTGTTTGTCAAGGCCATGGCATCACCACCTTCCTGCAGAGGCGCGAAATTGCCCGTGTCCCAGACCAAACTCGCAAGGATCAAGCAGAACATTTCCAGGCCCCTCCAAGCGAGCCATCCAGTCAGAATAGGTTTGTTGCGCTGTTTTGCCCATGGTTTCGGGCTTTGCCGTTCTCCGTTCCCCACCGCCCCCATGTTTAAGCAACGTTGGTACGCGATTTGCCTCCATTACGGGACGTGATTGGATGCTCGGATGCCTGCCTCAACGAGGCCAGCTTCTTCTCTCCGGAGCTTCTGGAAGTAATGACTGCCCTGCTGCAACCACGGCCAGCAGATCGACTTGGGCTTGCAAAGTGCGGGGCCCACGAGCTTGTTTGAACCCTGCGCGCGCCTAATCGGCACAGCATCCGTTGATGTTAGTCATATGGTCAACGTTTACCATCATCTACTGAAGTAGCTGTAGTCAAGGGCTGACATTGGGCACACGCACCACATTGCCATGGGGTTGGGGGACACAATGGATATTGGCTGTGGCACGTAACCTTCCTTCATCATGAGGTCTACAAGTGGTTTTTCCCAGGATACATACGTAGTTGAAGCAGCGTTCTTGGAGGGCGGCCACCCTCACAAGAGATTGGACGGTCGTGGTTTCACTCAGCTAATCCACGTGTGCTGCAGGGCCCCAGGTGGTGAGGAGCCGAGGGATGCTGAGCATGGTGCCCGAAGACTTTAACTCTGGATTGGGCGAGCTGTGGGATTTCTAGATGTAACTTATGTCAATCACAAAATGTTTAAAGGTCATGAAAGCTGACAGAAAGGTTTAATGGCAGAGTAGAGTCCGGTTGAAAAGGCGCGGTGACAAACTTCTGTGATGGCTGGGGACAGGGTATCATGCCTGTGGTCTAGGAGGGGAGTTGGTTTCGTTGGTTGCTGACGCTGACAGAATTACCTTGCAATTCAGAAAGGGGGGGGCCACCTTGAAGCAAAGCACACCCCTTGCGGGAATCTGCCTTGGTAGATGCAACGGAAGTGGCATACTGAATGCGAATAGCCAACAGAGACTATTTATTTGCACTTACTGTCTCATGAGCAGTCTGGGGCTGGAAAGCGGCAAACTTCAGGCTACAGAAAACTGCCTGTCCCAATTGTGGATTTTTGAACATGATCAAGCAGAAGGTTACGTTTTGCCTTGGCGTCCTAGATTGAATGTACTGTTTCGGCATGCTTCATGTGACCGCCAAGGTGCAAATTGCTCAAAGACTTAGAGGAGGGATTGATGGATACAAGTTGTGCGTGTGTAGGCATGCTTGCTTGCACATCGTGAATGCAAACCACCTTGCTGTTGTTACGTGTGCAAATATCCACCCAAATCGCTTTGTCAAGTGTGACTAGCGTGCTGGATATTTCAAGGTGCTTCTTTTGAAGCAGCGCCATGTATTTTTGCAGGCGTCATGCTGGCGCCTTGGAGTGGCCTACTCGCTTGCAAAGCCATGCCGGCCAGGAGCGTACCATTTGGGATTGCAGGTGGCTCGCTACGGCGACCGCGCAAGGCGGGCGCAGAGAGGCTGCAGCAAAGGATGGCCAGAATGGTTGATTTGCGGTATTATTGCCTGGTCGAAATCGGCAATGAGCAATCCTCGCTATTCTTGGAGAGGCTTCGCTGCCTTGCCCAGCCTGTGTGAGGCAAATGGCGGAATTTCTCCAGCACATCAGCCCCGCGGCGGATGACTCTGGTGGCTGGGAGTTGGCGGGTCCAACTTGATCTGCCTCTTTGGGTGTGGCAGACGGTTGCTTGGGGTTGTGCCTGCGCGAGCCTTGCACCGTGGCGCAGGAACATGAGTGGGAGCTTCTTTGTAGTTTTGCACCCTGTTTCCTGTTCGCGTGCGTGGGCGCACTTGTCAAATGATGCAGCAACCCATCATCGATTCACAACTAGCCTCAATGCCGCCTGGCACCCATTGCCTCCTATCAAGACACGTTCTGCCCGTGAAGCTGCTGCGACTTGCAGGTTTGTCTTTTGGTTCACAACCATGCTCACTTGTAACTCCCCGTGGGCAGATCAAGTCATCGCCTTTCGACTCAATCCCTTGTGCGACTTGAATAGTTCGCGGTTTGGGTGAAGTATCGAGCACAGCGTTTCTTCTTTCTGTATTTCGTCCCACCTCGCAGTCGGCGGAATTGCTATGTTGAGTGCATCAGATGCAAGGATCCAATGCTGGCACTGGTCGTTCCAGTTTTTCACACTGCCGCTCCGAGGTTAGCACAATGGCATCAGAGTCAGAGTCGTCAGATGCTGAAGAGGCTCGCACAGGTCACGCAGCCTGGCGCCCCGGAGTCGTCAGCCGGATTTTTCTGGGCGGGACTGGTATGGATGCGATAAAAAGTGCGGGAAGATGAGGAAATGCCGTCTTTTCTGCGGCCTTCGAATTTTTGCCTCAGACGAAAACCCGGCTGAGGGAAGCCGGATCCTTGCTCGAAAGCTGGGAGGGTTGCCTTGGTTTGCAAGGCGAGAACCGGCTGAGGAACGTCAGCAATGGTGTCGCCAAGAAAGTCTCAATAATTTGAACATGCCCCAATTTCAAGGCATATTTTCTGGGGGGGACATGTTTTATGAAAGGGGACCCTGTTGACGCTAGTCGCAAGCAAAAAGCAAGGCTCCAGGAGGGGAATAGCGAAACAAGGAATATAAACATGTTTTGGGCCGCCGCCCGTCAGAAGGCGAGGGACGGGTCCGCTTCATTAAACATTTTGATGAGTCTGAGTCTTGCTTAGGGTTTTGTTTGGAGCTTCCCTACAAAACCCAGCAACTTCTTCCCGAATCTTTTGCACCATGGCATGTTTGCGGCTGGTATTTCTGAAGAAAGTCAGAGTTCAAATCTTGCTTTGTGGAAGCGGGTGCCACCCCAAGCTCTTAAGTCCAGAGTGAGTACTGAAACCAATTGATAGTTGTGGTTTGTTAGTGTTCTTGCCGACATGGAGGAGCGGCAGGCAAGTTCAGCATGCCCTTCTGGTTCAAAGCTTCCGAGCACGATGCCGAGGCGTCTGCAGAAAACTATGCCGCAAAGCTTGCAGGCAAGGAATGGCTGGGACCCGAGACGAAAAGCTGCTTGCCTGCCCTCCGGCCCAAGGGTAGGGTTTGTGGGAGAACCACGTTGGTCACCGGCCTGTGCCACCAAAGCTGCGTTTTTAGATACACGTCGGCTGGTTCCATTCCGACAAAAGTGTAGGACCGACTGACCGTGCGCCAGTCTGGAATATGTAGTTTCTCGGCTGGCTCGTGGCAACTGTTTTGTTGTTTTCAAAAGAAAGGCCATAAAAACAAACACTGCAACCCTTGGTAAGACATGAGTGCTGCACGCGTAGTCTTGTACTTACAAAAGTTGTGACTTTCAAGGCAGAGCTGCCGCACTATGCTTCCCGTACTACACTTGTACTTAAGAAATGTGACCTTCGAGCTGGAGATGCCAGAGCGCATGTTCTTCGTGTGCGACCCTTGTACTTGCAAGTTTCGACTTTCGTGCTGGAGCAGTCAAAGTGTACTTTATGTACCTTTATGTGCTACTCTAGTACTTATCAGATTCGGCTTACGAGGCAGGGCTGCCAAAGTGCACTTCGCGTGCTACACTTGTACTGTTGCGACGTTCGAGCTGGCACTGCCAGAGTGGACCACGCTGCAACACAATAAGGAGTAGAAGGCGACAGACACATCCCCGAAATAGCTCGCACAGATTCTGACCCCTTTTATACAACCCCGATGTGGTCGAATCTGTTTTAGGGCGACGGCGCCACAAGCTGATGTTGTTTAATGTCGACTTTATATTAGTAAACGGGGTCCCCCCCCTCAACTGTTTGTTCGGGCAAAGTACCGTAATAAAAAGCAATTGTACTTGTAGTATTGCTTCAGGATTTTGTAGCACTTGTAGTAGTGGCAGTGTTACTTGTTTATCGTAGTGCTTCTAGTACTTGTAGTACTCGTAGTAGTACTTGTACGGCCAGCACTTGTGGTTTGCCCAGAGGCTCTCTTCCGGAGGCCTCACGCGCTCAGATGCCCTCGCGCCTGCCACCCTTTTTAGCACCCGCGCCTGATATCGAACGGTCTGCCCTTAGAACATCGGCAAGCCTTCGCTGATGCGCACGCTTTTGGACTGGTTTGCTCCTTGTTACAAAAAACTTGTTTGGCTTGCCCCCGCGTTTCGGGAATTCTACTAATGTGAATTAATGTTGTGCTTTGGAGGGTCGACTTGGGGGGCCAGCGTTGTATGTTTGCAATTGACTTTTGAATTAGCCCCTTCTTAATTTAGTATTGGTGAAAAAGCGGGTCCGGTGGCCCAAAACTTAGGTTGACATAAACAGTCATGGTTTTTCGCTTTTGCCAACGTAGGCTCAATATTCCCGTAACACATATCGTGCGGCGATGTGGAATCAAGTTATGTAGCGGAGTTGTGCGTATTGCCCTCTTGCCAGGCTTGGCTTGCGCTTGTTGACGCCGGCGCCCTTCGCTTCGGAAAGGTGCGGTTCGGGACCAAAAGGCCAAGGAGGTACTCTCAACACAGGCTTCTTGTGGCGCGGCCATTGGATGGTCGGTGCCGCCTTCACTATCGGTCCCGCTGTGGCTTGTGTAAAAAATTCGGGGAATGTGTCTGATTGCTTAGCTGGGTTCAAGTCTGCTCCCCCCAATACGGAGTTGTTTGTCGTGTTTGCGCGTGTAGCCTCCTCCAGACAAGCTGGAATATCTTTATATTGTTTTATCCTCATTTGCAAGCAGGCATCCCAGGATGAGACGTCGCCCCTGTGTGAGACAAGAACATGTGTTGCTCGTTTGCTTTCTTCTTCTTTCTCCCTGACCCTCCACTTTGAAGAGTCCAGGTGCTGGCGGGTGCAACACGGAGCAACTTCCGTGGGCTTTTGTCGAGCCAGCCTTGCCTTTTGGCCTGCGCACGTGCAGCTCGTCGCAATTCAGGGTGCGCTGCTTTACATGAGCCGTGGTCAACGCGCGCCCCTTTGCTTGGGATTGGCAGCGGTGGTCATCGACTCAGTTGTTTTGTGGATTTGATGCAACCAATGTGGTTCAACCACGGCGCAAGATCAGCTTGCGACGGCATTGATCTCAGGAAAGCGTCCTTGCAAATCGTCTACTGAGCTGAATAGTGACGGCGCGGCACCCACCACCCCTTTCCTAATTTGGAATTGCTGGTCAGGCAGAGGGGATCAGAAAAAGCAAGACATATCAGAGATTTCCCTCTCTCCCCACCTGCAAGGCTGGGCTGCTAGGGCTGCAAGTCACACCTGCAACCAGTTTCCCTTTCCCGGTTCTTGGTGAAAGACCCACGGGCACACCGCTCCAAGTTGGCAGGCGGTGCCCTCCTTTTGCGGGCGGTTGGGCTTCAGCACAAAACATGGGGAAATTAAATGCGAGCGGCTGGGCCCACCTGGAACCGATGATGAGTTGCTTGCGCGTATTTACCACTGGCAGGTGGAATGTTGAGCTTTACATTTTGCACGAACGCTTTGAAAGCGAGAACATGGCGGCTGTCAATGTTCTACGTTTGCTTCTGACTGGCAGTCGCTTTGATTTGCTTTTCTTTTGTGAGAGCCGCCTTCTTGACTTTTTGCGAACCGCCGGGTGTTCGTTTTACTCGGGCATGGCCAAAACTGCGCATTGGCCTGGCTTCTGTCAATGCAGGACAGGTCTTGGTGGGAAGTGCCGGGCGCAGTGCCCGAAGGAGGACGCGCCAACTATATTAAGATACACTAGCCGAATGTAGCAGAAACAGCTTTTGCGTTGCACGTGATGGCACGTGTGCGATCAGCGGGTTTTGGCCAAATTGCTGGTAACGCGGCCCTCCGCTGCTCTCGCTCGGGGCAGGCTGTCAAGTGCATGCGCTGCTCGGGAGTGGCCGGAATGCGGCCGGAGGCATTGCCCGATGCGAAGAAGGGGAAACGGCAAAGGAGCCCCGGCTGGGCCTTGCCAGAACCTTTTCGCGCTTGATTTCTTCTGATTTTTCTGTTTCAAGAGATTTTGAGCCGCCTCCTGGAGGTTTGGGGCTTACCAGGACCACTGCAGGCAACTTGCTCTGTGTTGGGACTGGAGTGTTTCCAGCATCCTAAATTCCGTACCAGATTATTTTTTGACGCAGCCGGATTGCTGGCTTGCAAACCTAAGATTTGATTTAGGATGCTGAAGGTGCAGACCGTACAGGTTCCCTAGGCAATGTTAGAGCGCAAAGGCTCTGATTTGCTTCGTGTTGCTTCCCTTCCGGCATGCCTTACGTGAGTGGACGCCTGAGTTGGTGCCACGTGTGGCGTCGTGCCGCTGCACATATCTTTGCGCGCCAGTGAATTGGCGCATTGCATGAGTTTCCGGGGTATAGATCATCGAGGATGCACGCCAAATGGGTGTCTTCCCGACGCCGCATTCCCGGACAAAGCACGTCGCCGAAGGCCACTTGTCGGCAGGTTGTGAGCGGGGGGTTTGTGGGAGAGGGGGGGTGGGGGGGCGGCGGGGCGGGGGGGCGGGGGGGCGGCGGCTTTTTGTTCAACCCTGCCAACTCCATGAAGCTGCAGGGTTTTATGCGCGGTGGGAAGAAAGTGACAGCATTTGCTGTCGAAAACGCAATGGTGGATGTTTTCTTAGGCATTGAGTTGAGCCTGCAAGATCTGCAAGCTTGTGCTTTTGCATTTTCGAGAGTAATTCTGCATTAACCCTTCGAGAAAGGCCGGAGCAGAAGCCGTTGCCGTCACTTCAAGGTGAATGCGCCGTCGTCGGCGGGCCCCCGGGAGGCTGGGGGAGAGTTTTCCCTTCAGGGTATCCTTTTGGGTTACTTTGAAAGGGAAACCAAAGGCAAGCCACCTGTTTGGAATCATGAAGGCGTCAGGGGTGCCTGCGGACAACAAACACGGTGCATGTGTTCATAGCCAACTTTGATCGGTGTCGTCCCAGAACCTGATACCTCCGGACAACTGCGCAAATGCGGGACTGTCTTTACCTAGGTCAAATTCCAGCTTTGGGGCGGCACGATGGCACTCATGAGCCGTCATCTCTGCTTGTTGCTTTGGGAGTCGTCCGAAAGGTCCTTATATTCAGGTACGAAGGGGAAAACATTTATGCCGCAGTGTTTCCCTCCGCCAAAGTTTGTTCTTCTCCGCGAAAGTTTTGTGTAAGGGTGGTTTGCTGAAAGGAATATGTAATGCTGAACCATGTGTATTTGCCGGCATTGCGCGCAGAATGCAACAAGTTGAGCGCAACTTCTTAGCCGGATTTTCTACAAATTTTGGCGAAAGAGCTGGGGGCTGCGGACGTGCACTACTTGAACTGAAAAGTTTCGACTTTCCAGTCGGGGTTGCGGAAGTTTACTTTGCACGCTACTTTCGTACTGCACATGTTGCGACTTTCAATCCGGACCGCGGACTTGTACTTGGCGTGCTACTTCTGAGATGAATGTTGTGAAGGTAGCCCCGCAAAAGATCCGCCATGGAGGCCGCGAAAGCTATTTGTCCCGCGAAGATGATGTCTTTGGGAACAAGGACCTTCGCACAAACGATGCTTGTGGGGTTGAGGCAGCCGAGGCTATGCATTCTTGGGGCTTGGGCACGTAGGAACACGTTTTCCTGAACAGACAGTTGCTTGTGCTGGCAACTCGTGAGTACTAACACGTCATGGCTTGAAGGTTTTCCTTGTGGTTTTATCCTGCTCTTTGGCTCCGGTGAAATGTTGGGGCTTTTGGTAATGGACTTAGGGTCAAGCAAAGCTGGCTTGAGGCAGCGCGTTTGGGACTGAACAAGGCGTATCGAGGTTGTATCGGTGGCATGTCAGTTGGCACGGCGTGAAATGGTTTCGAGACATTGTCGGCGCTGGTAGGTACCGAACGGAACCTCCTCATCAACATTCCCATGGAGGTTAGGACAGAAGCGACTGCAATGTGCTTCCTGCAGTGAGCAGCTGCGATCCTCCCAGGCTCTTGGAACCATTTTGGAAGGGGTGGTTTGCCGCTTGCATGCCGCCTTTCAAGGGGCGGAGTTTGGACACCGGTTGTCTATCAACCACGTCTCAGCAGATTGCACGTGGCTGTTGCAGAACAGCAAGTGGAAGTGTCTAGAGGAGGCTCGACCCCGAGCGGCCAAAAGAGTTCTAAAACAGTGCAGGCCTGGCTGGGTGGCGACCCCACCGTCTCGATCAGTGAAAGGCCCTGGCAAGACTCGACCCAGCCTCTTGAAGGGAGATAGAACACGTCGAGTCATGCTTCGACTGCCGGAAGGGGTTGGCTATGCCGATGGCTGCCACTTGCGCTCGCTCTCAAGCAGTAGGTTGAAGAATGGGAGGCCTCGGCAAGGACAAGGTGACAAGCTGTCAAGCAAGAACAGGCGCCATGCACGGCGTTACCACCTGCATGAAGGTTAATCTGAGGGCATGGCAGTGTCCTCTTGCCTGGCCCTACGCTTTTGCCGCTTGGGCTTGACTGCTTTGAAGATCTGCCCATGACAGCCACTCAAGCTACGTCTTTGACACCTGCTCAGCCTGATGTGATCTAGTCTTTGTGAAATGTTTGGTTGCCATGTAGCAATGGTCTGAGCAAAAATTGGGCGACGACTCAGTGCTTGCAAGGTGAGTGCCGCCTCGGGAGGCCGCTCTGGGGATTGAGCAGGCTGGCAAACAGCCAGTTGCTACCTGATGCCATGGACCTGTGTTGGGCGCAAGGCACAGCACATGTTCTGCTCTCAGCCTTGCTTGGAGAAGCCGGGCGACAGTGACCTGTGACCTTAGTCAAGTGGAGGCCAGAGATTAGGGATCGTTTGCTCGGGTTAGTCGGATTGCTGTGGCTTCTGTTCGCGCCCGTCTCTGCTATTGGCTCCTGTCTTTGCATGCCAAGACAGCGTTCCAAATGGAAGAGGCCAAAGAATGGACCACCATCCCTAGCCACGTTTGGTCCCACTAAAGCCGCAGGTGCGCTGCAGGAAGCCTTGACCGTGCCCCGCATAGAACGTAGGCGGATATGGCTTGTAGGGCGTGATACTTTCATGGTGAGCAACGGGGCTGTTTGCCCTCAGGGAGCACCGATTCGGAAAAGAGACAGCATCCCGTGCACCCCGTTTGCGCTTCGGATCTGGCGCCCTCTCCTGCGCCCTACGCTTCCCTGCTGGAAGGCTGCAGCGTCACTCGACTGCAATGGAGGGGCGCTGCCCCCAATCGCAACATGCACCACGCTGCGAAGGAAGGTTTGTTCTTCCATGCCAGCTTTTGGATGTACCTTCAGGTCAGAATTTTAGCATAATGAGCAAACTAGTTCGCTGCCCCAAGTAAGGACAAACAAACTGAACGCCAGAGGTTTTGTCGACTGACCCTCTACATGTGCATAGCACCGCTTCAGGATGGACGAGGATGAAGAAGAGAGGCTCGATGAGTTTGGGGCACACAGGAACAGTGCAGCTGTCATCCCTTGCTATCAGGCGTTTCCAAGCTTAGTTGATAAAGTTCAATCTGTTTGCATGGAAGTCCAGAGCTGGAACTGGGCCAGGGTTGGGGATGCACCTTTGCCACAATGATATAGCTGCTAAAGGGGCTTTTGGATGATGCGTATGATTGTTGCAGAATTGCCCTCCAACCCACAAGTTTTCACGGGGACAGCGGATTGCACACCTGCTGTGCGACTCTTGGGATGTGGTGTTTTTTGGGCAGATCAGCTCAGTGTTGCCCTTTGGCCGCCTTTTCTTTTTTTATCCGCCCCAAGTGGCAGGCAGAGCCAAGCTGCTTCGGAGCCCTTCCCCTTCACCTGGGCCAGTGACATGATTTGAACCCAGTGGGATCGCAGACATTTCGGTGGCCCAACAGGCAGCGATGGTGGCTGTCAGTCATGCAGGGCGCCGTGGTGCGGCGCCCTAGATGTCGAGATGTGAGGCCAAAGTGTGAAGAAATTGTGGAAGGGAGTTCGCCCATGGCTTTGCAACATGGCCGTGGAATCCTCAGCTCTTGGCCCAGAGTGTTCGAACAAGGCAGACTTGCATTTAGGGCATGGGGCGTTTTGACCAACGATGAATCGAATTGCGTCTTGCGAGATTCCCACAAAACTTCCGACAGGCGTCGCTTGAGGTTTGTATTTTTTTGCGGGGGGGGAGGGGGGGGAGGCTGTGGACCAGGGGAAGGGAAGGCCGTGGACGGCGCGGCTTCTCCATAAGAATGCGGGAAAATAGGCTTCCACAGGTGCAATTTGGACATGTTGCACTTGTGGCCTGGGGTTCCACCCCCGACTCCTCCCGGGCTGGACTCGTTGAAACCGGTGCCGGCTTTCGGCCCGCCCTTTCTTCAATTGTTAAGCACTTGAGTTTCAAGTAAATGTAGCGATTTCGCGTAATCGGTCATACTTGCTGTGTGGTGCTTAGTTTTTGTTTGGAACCGATTGGCCCAGCAGTTGTCAAGAAGGAATGTATTTCCATGTTCCTGTTGCTTGTGCCCGGAATTTGCTGGCAGCCTGCATGTGCATCTTAGCAAATGCTTTCAAAACCAGGGAGCTGGACGCAGCGTCAGGTAGGATGACAGATTTGGCATTGCTGTCACCCGCTGCCAGTTTCCGTGCAATAAGCCATTTTTCCCAAAGGCTGCGGTTTTGGTTCCAAATCGGGCGAGTTTGTGCCGCAGGAGCCGCACTGGCAGACGGATGACAGCTCAAGCATCCTGGAGCGGGGCAGGCATCTGTGGTTCTGCCGAGTTTTGCGCATATTGTGGGATAAGGGGACGGAGGAGTAAGCGGAGCTGGCTGTGTCTCAAAGTAGAACCCGTTTTGTAGGACAAAATTGCCATCCCTTCAGTCCTTACTTTTGGGCAAACAAAACCCGGTCGATTGCAACATCGGCTGCCAAGCTGCCCTTTGTGGGATAAGCCATCTCAGATCAAGGGAGAAGCAGTGGCTTGAAATTGGGCCCATCCCGACCCAACTGGCGCTTGAGATACCTGATATTGCCCAGGTCACTGGCAACGTGCGGGACTTTAGGCATTACGCATGGGATCCTGAACTTGATACCATTTCCGCACATCCGGCTGTGCCATCACACCTCGGCTTTTGCAATGGCCGCAAACAGCAGCATGGGATTTACGGGCGTCGTCAATGAGCCCAATCTACTGCCCGAACTCTGTTCCTTACCCTGCTCCAGAACCTGTCCAGAATCATCGAAGCACCCTGAACTCGAGCCTTTCTTTTGCTTTGCATCCCTCTCGTTCCACCCTGACAAAACATGGTTACAGCCAATGCAGGTTCGCATTGGTTTGCGTGACGACCCAACCCGCATATCAGCAACTCACGCTGGCAAATTGAGAGCTCCCGGTCTCCACCAGACATCGGTTTAGATTATTCTTTCCAGGGTCTCGCCTTCCCTGGCGCTTGTTGATTATAAATCGCTGCCTGGGCTGGGTCTGCACGGAATTCAGCATTGGTGCCGGAGGAAGGTGCATTCCGCGAATCCCCAGAAGCTCGAATGTCGCAATGTTCGAGCACATGAAGCTTTTGGACACGTTTCCCGCGAACCGATTCTTAAGAATCATTTGCCATGTGTTTTGGAGCTCCCATCCGCTGTGTGCCCCAAACATGGCGGGTTTCCTGTTGGTTTCCCTTTTTGTCTGAAAGGGGGTGTGCACAAAAGAAGAAACTCACCGCGAGGGCTGCAGCCCGCCGTGGTGGCGGATCGCCAGCGACACCGTCGCCCAGGATGAAAGCGCACCGCGATCCAAGGGCCGGGGGATGTGTCAGGATGTTTGGCCATGCGTCAAAAGCCCGTCCCCAGTGAACATCCCAACCCACTAAAATAGACTAAAATGGGTGGGGCACCTACCCCAAAATGGTATCATTGGTTTTGACCCAGGCAAGGAACAGGACGGTGTCCGCGTTGATTCATTGCACGCCTTGTGTGCATGGCTCGCTGTGGCACGTTGCGTGACGAGTCTGCGTGCGCAAGTGCAAACGTACATCAACATTTCAGAGCAAGGGAGAGTGTAAGCTTAAGTGTAAGCGTCACGGCAGTAGAAGCAGTACAGACACACTACCACACCAACACAAACCACAAAGCCACAACCACACATCCACACCAATGTACTATCATACTAAGATGCTAGCATACTAAAACACCAACAACAATTCTAACACACACACACACATACAAGCACTAACCGCAAACGAAAGCACTAGCATCCAAAGCCGGGGCAATTTGCTCCATGGTCCACATCTACGTAGGAAGGGGTTTGTCAGCAACCTCTCAATAGACCATGTAGACAAGGGTTCCTGCCAGCTGTGGCGATGACGCACAGGGTTTCCCCTGCGCACAAAACGGCCAAGTGCCACTAGGCATCGCTTTTGCGCATCCCCAGCATCACCAGCAAGGCCAAGCGTGATATGTGAATTGTAAGTCACTATGATGACGGACGACCCGTGGGCACCCTTCGCATGCGACTCACCTTTCAAGAAAGGTCCGGATAAATATGGTGATCCCCATTCAAAACCCAGGGAGTTCTCTGCGGCCAGTGCTACGCGTACCCGGGGGGCCCGGGGGGTCCGAGGCGTGTGGCCGAGCTGGAGGCGAAGTTCGCAGAGCTGGAGGCGAGCCGCTACGAGCCCCCGGAACTCGAGGAGCTGCAGGCGGACGGGTTTTGGGACGGGACGCACTGGACCCAGGGGACCCGTCTTTTCATGGATTGCGCCGTTGGATTCCCCACCAAAGCTTGTTGGTGCTCAGTGAGGGAAGGAACTTGGGGATATGTTTTGGGTCCCCTTAGTTAAAGGAAACCGCCAGTTGAATGGTTTATGGGGGTCATTCCATTTCTCATCCCCTGAGCACCAGCGAGAAATCTTTTTGGTCGTATTGTTGCAACTTGAGTCGCCCTTACCCGAGACAAGGGCGCCCTTGAAAAGCGCAGCAGTTTTTGGGTGGGTGATGTTTAAACGGTCCAATTGGCTGAGATTTGGTCGTTGTTTGGTTGGCAGGGTTCCCTGCAATTCACCTTCGGGCCTCGGGTGGGCTCGCCTTTTTCAAAGGCAAGCTTGAGCTGAGTTTCCATTGACGGTGCTTTGCTTTTGAGGCGGTTTCACTCACGTGGCATCGCAAGAGCGGCTTTCTAGAAAGCCCCTTGACAGCCCACAGGATCCATTTTTTGGGCGCTACTTGTTCGATCCGTCAAAGTCTTTGGGCACCAGATGCTCCTGCCAAACCGGAAGAATGGTTTCCATGGACAGCGAACGTCGGTATGTTCACACATGGGAGAAGCCTCATGTAACTCCTCGCCCATGTGTGCTCTGGTGTTTTTGGCGTTTCCAAGGCCAAGCAAACCTGAAGAGACAACGCAATTCGCAGTTTTCGAGGAGGCGACATGCGCTTTCCGGAGTGCACCGGATCATTGAAACGCAGAGGGCACTCCCACAATCTGGCCAAGGCACTCAAAAGGGCATTGGTGAGGGAGGCTCGGCGCAGTTCACGAATTGGCGGCAAGCCAAATGCTAGAGCCTAGGTGCTTTGCAGCACGCTGGAATCTCAGAAGCGATCGCTGGAACAGGAGGTGGCGGCCCTGCGTGCGCAACCCGTGGGAGCCTCCCATGTCGCAGAGGCCCAGCCTTCCTTGTTTTCTTTTTGTTGGGAAGGGTGTCCTCAGGTATCCCTTAGTTGGTGGTTTGGTTTTTTTTTGGTTTGGGGATTTCAACCCCTGGCTTTTGTGGAGGGTAAATGGGAACTCCTCCAGAAACCATCAAACCACCAATCCAAAGCACCAAGTAGTGGGAAGCTGATGTCCCTTTAAAATGAACCAACCGTGGCCTGTTTGCCCGTGGCCGCCGGGCTTCAGAGGACTTGGAGCGACAGAACGCGCAGCTGGCGGGGGAGCTGTCACAGAGCAAGGAGAAGAGTGAGCAGGCACAAGCGGTGATTCGGGACCTGCAGGAACAGCTGAGTTACTTGATGGAGGAGCTGGAATCCGAGAAGGCCGGGCTGTCAGTGAAAGTTGCCATGAGCAAACGACTAACAGATGTTCTTGTGGTCCGCCTGAAGGTGGCCCATGCAAACCTGGATGCCACCGACTTCCAGGATGCAGCGCATCAGGTCAACGACTTGGAGCACAGCGCACGCCTTGCTGATGAGCTGTCGAAGTCCAGAGCCGAATGCCTCAATTTGCAGGAGCAGCTGAGCCGCCTGCAAGATGAGCATGCAGAAATCACGGAGCACATGGCAGCAGGGGAGGCATCAATGCCCAAATGTCGTCATGTGGGGGTGGAGAACATGTGTGTCTGTGTGTGTGTTTCTGTTTGTGTGAAGGCGTGCACGCGTTCAAATCAAACAAACATGTTCATTGTGGGGACAGCTTGCCTTGCGGAGTTGCATGCTTAGCAGCAATGCCAGCTCTCCTTCCATCAAAGGGAGCGGGGTCTGCAAACATCTTGGGGGAGAGCGTGTGTGTTGCGTGCAAGTCAGCTCATGTTGGAGAAGGGTTGTCTAGTGCATGCTTGCTGGAAGGTAGTTCATGCTGCCCTGGACCTCACGGACTCGTCACCAGGGGCTGCTCAAAAGAAGGTTGACGATTTGGAGCAGAAGAGCACTTGGCTTGCCGACGAGCTGTCACAGTCGAAAGCAGCGTACCACACAGCGCTGGAACAGCACAAGCACGATCAAGCGATGATTCAAGGCTTGGAAGAACAGCTGAACAGCCTGCGAGATCAACACGAGCAAGTCACGCAGAACTTGTCATCAGAGAAGGCGCGGGTTTCCAAACGACTCTGGTGTGTGCTCATCGTTTGTGTGCGTGATTCTTCATTTGCGCGTGTATGTCGTTTGTTTCGTGTGAATGTCGTTTGTTCAAGGAGTGTGTGTGTGTGTGTTGCTTGTTTTGTTTGCTTGCTTGCTTGCTTACTTGCCTGCCTGCCTGCCTGTCTGTCTGTCTGTCTGTCTGTCTGTCTGTCTGTCTGTCTGTCTGTCTGTCTGTCTGTCTGTCTGTCTGTCTGTCTGTCTGTCTGTCTGTCTGTCTGTCTGTCTGTCTGTCTTTGTCTGTCTTTGTCTGTGTTTGTCTGTCTTTGTCTGTCTTTGTTTGTCTTTGTCTGTCTTTGTCTGTCTTTGTCTGTCTTTGTCTGTCTTTGTCTGTCTTTGTCTGTCTTTGTCTGTCTTTGTCTGTCTTTGTCTGTCTTTGTCTGTCTTTGTCTGTCTTTGTCTGTCTTTGTCTGTCTTTGTCTGTCTTTGTCTGTCTTTGTCTGTCTTTGTCTGTCTTTGTCTGTCTTTGTCTGTCTTTGTCTGTCTGTCTGTCTGTCTGTCTGTCTGTCTGTCTGTCTGTCTGTCTGTCTGTCTGTCTGTCTGTCTGTCTGTCTGTCTGTCTTTGTCTGTCTGTTGGGCTGCCTGTCTGTCTGTCTCCGTCTGTCTGTCTGTCTGTCTGTCTGTCTGTCTGTGTGCCTGCCTGCCTGCCTGTCTGTTTCTGTCTGTTTGTTTGCCTGCCTGTCTGTCTGGCTGTCTGTCTGTGTCTCTGCGTGTCTCTCTGTTTGTCTCTTTGCTTGTCTGTTTGTTTGCTTCTCTGTTTGCTTCTGTCCATGTGTTTGTTATACTTTCTGTTCGATACTATGTGGTTGTGCTGTTTGCTTTTTTCTTTTTTGTTGTGTATGCGTGTGACGTTGAGGCAAGTATGCGTCTGTGTGTTTGTCTAAGCGTCCCCGCACGTGCCAGTCGTAGAAACTGGTTGGTTGGGTATTTCTGCAAGTTCTCAGTGTACCGATGACGACGGCTCTAAAGTCATTTGGCCTGCGTTGCTTGGGGGAAGACTCGGCTGAAAGGAGGGCAGCGCGCGGCTCGCTGACCAGCTGTCGAAGTCGAAAGCCGAGTTTCTCGAATCACTGGAAGGGCGGGTGTACGACCAAGCCGCAATCCAAGAGCTGTCTGAGCAGCTGACCGCCCTGCAAGAGGAGCATGCTCTGTCTCAAAACCAATCAGACAAGGCACTGGTGGATGATTTGATGTGCATGTTTGGCTGTTGGCATTTCAGGTTTGAGGGTGTGATGTCCTCTGGATGCATCCCCATCAGGTCAACGATTTAGAGCAGAAAAGCGCCCAGCTTGCTGATGAGCTGTCAAAGTCCAAAGCCGACTGCCTCAATTTGCAGGAGCAGCTAAGCCGCCTGCAAGATGAGCATGCAGAAATCAGTGAGAACATGGTTTCCGAGAAGGCATGGGTTGGCAAATGTTTTCATGCGCGCACATAGTCTGGTAGTGTTCAAATGGAAATGTGTGTGTGTGTGTGTGTGTGTGTGTGTGTGTTCATGTGTTCGCTTTGGCATTGCTGGCTTGTGATTGAGCGTGTAGTGCGGTGCGGTGCGGTGATGTGCTTGCGCGTGCGTGCTATGTGTGCGGGGATTTGTGTGAGCGCGAGCACGTCTGAGCTTGAAGTATTTTTTTTATTGTAGGGAGGGGTTGGCCTGCGCAATTGCATGTTGTAGAAGTAATGCCAGTTCTGCCTCCATGAGAGAGAGAGAGAGAGAGACAGAGAGGGAGAGCGAGAGAGAGGGTCTGCACAAAGGCTTGGGGCGAGAGTTTGCATATTGTCTGCGATTCGGTTCATGTTGGCTGCATTATGTTGCCTATTGCATGCTTTGCTGGAAGGTGGTTCATGTCGTGGACCTCACGGACTCGTCAGAGGCTGCTCAAAAGAAGGTTGACGATTTGGAGCAGAAGAGCACTTGGCTTGCCGACGAGCTGTCGAAGTCGAAAGCAGCATACCACACAGCGCTTGAACAGCGCAAGCACGATCAAGCGATGATCCAAGACTTGCAAGAAGAGCTGAGCAGCTTAAAATCTGGCACTCAAGTGGAGGAGGCGCCCGACAAGGCACGTGCGGCCGTCTGCTTGGTGGCTGCTTGCTGGGCATTGCGCATGATGAGGTGTTTTCGTTTTGTGAATGCCAGACTTTGTTCCATCTTCGGAAGCGTGCTGGAAAGAGGGCCGTCACAATTTCAACCGGAGACCAACACAGTGGGCGTGTAAGACGTAAACTCATCAACATGGTGAAGCCGATGGTACTCCAAGCGCACTAAAGCTGCCTGGGAGTTTGCACTGCGCTTGCGGTCAGGCACGCATCGAGGAGCTGCTGTCGGAGAATCGAAAGCTGAGACCTGGCTGCAGGTGAGGACATTTGCACAAGGGTCAAAGAAAGATGTCCAACATTGTCGATTTCCCTCGATTTTTCCCTTCAAGCCCACAAAAGCACCACCACCCCTTAGGGTTCGAAGTGCGACTATACTATTATACCTGGGAGACGTTGCCCGCGTTCCGGGGGGGGCTCCCTTCTCCATGCGTTGGTGTTTTGCATCCAGACATTGCGTGCAAATGTGGATTTGCTGTTTCCTGTTGCCGTACCCCCAGTGAACATCCCAATCCCCACTAAAATGGACTAAATTGGGTGGCGCGCCTACCCCAAAATGGCCTCCCCCAAGATGGTTGTGATTTTTGTCAGGTGGGTGAGTCAAGCATGCCCAACTTGCGATCCTGCAGGGCTTCACCCCAGCTTCTGGAACCCTAGATGCGTATATTCCGAGGGGTTGGTGCCAGCTTGGCTGGTTGGGGCGAAGCAAAGAGGGCAAGCTGAAGAGGTGTTGGGGAGGTGCCGATGTGCTTTCATTCTTTTTGGCTTATATGGTGGGATCGCTCCTCCCCAGCGTTGTTTCACCATGGCCCCTTTCGACACGTGTCCAAACGTGCTTGGACACGGAGGGCCAGCTTTCGTAGTTGGCATAGGATGGCATGCTTTTGCAGTCAGGGGGCTCTTCTTGGATTCATTCAGATCACAAAGCTCCCGTTGGATGCTTCTGCTGTAACTGCCAGATGCTTTGGTTGCCAAAACGCCCGCATTTATAGTCCCTCTAGCCTCTATGCATAGAAGCTGAGAGGAGGGAGGTGGAAGACCTTGCGGAGAAGCCCCTGTCCATGTCCATTGTTGGAAGCGTTCACCCGATTCCTGAGTGCACCCGCCCAGGTACCAAGCCGAAGCCTAAGTTGTCAGGGCTTGGAGATGTTGCATCGACAGCTCCAGGACGAACGGGCAATGTTTTGAGCACCCAAGCCGAACTGTGGATGGACGGAATCCTGTTTTACCCAAGAAACCATGGAATGGTGATTCCCGGGAAGTACCAACTAACAAAGGTTTCCCATAGTTTCAAAGTGGTGCGAAGGGATTTTGTCCATCCACAGTAGTTTTCCTGCAAGACCTTGTCGGCCACAAAGCAGAACAAAAGAAAGGGGCAGATGTCATAGCTCCAACTCCGAATGGCTGTGTCGTCAACGCCCCTTGTTGGCGTTGATTTCGGGTGGAAACTGGAAAACGCGGCCCTACGTTGGGTGAGTTCCACATCGCATTTCGGAACAGCCCCTCTGGGTTTCTACTTGTCTTAGAAGCCCCCAAGTGAGCATGTGTCAGAACCATGGGCAACCCCTATAAGATGTGAGACATGTTTTGTTGGTTTCTCTTTAAACCAACCTGAAAAGGGCACCCTAAAAGACGTGGCGTCTCCATTGAGGCCGTCCAGGAGGGCCTGGCGCAGAGCCTGGCACAGAAGGCCTTGCGCCACGCCGAGGCGGCGCCCATGCAATGAACGGCGTGGGTTGTTTTGAGGGGCGAAGAGTCGTGCCAGCGCAGAGTTCACCAAACATTTGTTTGACCCGCAGTTGGACCCCAAACATTTGCAGCGTGATTTCCTGTCAAGTGCCATTGCTTTCGGTTTGCATTCTTTTTAGCGTCGCAGAGAGTTGCTCTGCATCGGAGAGAGAGAGAGAGAGAGAGAGAGAGAGAGAGAGAGAGACCCCAAAGAAATGGGAGGGTGCAACATGCAACCAGACATGTTCGGAGATGGGGACTCTGTTTTTTCGGGGGAACAGACCTCCGTGAGTATGCGACGGATTGGTTGGCCAACGGGTCAACATTGGGGCTCCACCTGCCCAGATTGCTGGGTGGCCTGTCCCAATACCCAGTGATGGGATGTACTTAGCTCATGTATCCAAACCCGTGAGACACAAAATCCATTCAACGGGATCGACATGCAGCTCGGAATTGGCTCTCCAGTGTGTCCTTGGCTCTTTCTGATGTGGCAGGATGAGCTTCAGCAGGACAAGGCTCGAGCCGCAGCTGGCAGTTTGCCGAAAGGCAGATGCCATTTCTCACATTTCTAGTAGTGCTACCTTCACCTTCCCCATTCTTTCCAGGGATCCTTCTTTCTAGAAAACCTCCGGAATCCCAGGGAAACGGCTGGCTTTTGAACAGAACGATGGTTGAAAAGAATGGGGAATCAACCCTCAGAACATTGGGCAGATTCTGATGGAGCCATGAGGCTCTGGCTGTAGCTGTCGCAAGCTACCCCTTTCTGCCCCAAAGTGATCGTGAGACTTCGTGACACCTTGGTTCCGAGATTTTACGACTCTCAGTAATTGGCGTGCGGGAGGGCCTGGTAGCATGACGTGCAGGCGCCGGCACTCGCAAATGCCAGTCCTCGAGAAGATGCCAGGCTGGGCCCGTCAAGGGAGCATGGGGCTGCGTGTGTGCGAAGCGCGCATGATCAGGCTCAACCAACAAACCAGACGGACTTGATGGTCTCAAAGAAACGATGCAGCCAACAAAGTTTTTCCAGACACCAGATTGGGCATTTGCATCCTGTCCAAATGGTTTCGCGTCACTGCATGTCAGCTGGTAATGATGACCTCGTCAGGTTGCTCTCTGTGGCTGCCAAGCTGCACTGGCCATGTTGTAACTTGCGCTCAGATAGTCGTGAGAGATCGTGGCAGCTACAGACATTCACCTGCATGCATCAGGATACAGAGCCTAAGTTCCATGGCGAATACTAAGGACAGTCCTGGGATCTACGTGCCTTGAATATGGCCTGCTGGGGAGGAGGTCCTGTGAGGTGTTTCTGGCAACGAAACGAGGTTGGAAGGGTGGCTTGCGGATTCGCCACCGTTGTGACGAGTTGAACATCATTCGCAGGCCCTGAGCTTTGCAGACAGCTGTGCATGCTTCTGTCCCCACGCAAGTGAGTCATTCCAAACTGTATGAGAACTGCGATGGCACCTGGTTTGCCGTCAAACATGACATGCGATCAAGCCGCACACATATTATTTCGCACTGCCCAGAGAAGCGCAGGCACACAATATGCCACCGCCAAAGCACACCTGCCACCTTGCCCGCTTAGAGCTGCCGCGACCGCGCCATCCGGGGTGTCGTTTTTAGGCTTCGCGTTCAGCGGTAGCTCCGGCTGAGGTCATCGCCCAGACGGTCTTCGTGACCGTCGGCCCGGAGAAGGCGTCAGCGAAGCTGCAGAACCTGAGCGCCGGGAGCCCTGTGGAAACCACTCGGACCCATTGGGCATTCCACGCGGAGGGTGTGGATGCGGCAGCTCGCAGGTGTTTTTTGTGATACCTCGCCGGTATTTCTCCAATGTTTCCAAATGACCCGGTTGCGCGTGTCTAGGGGGTGAACCCAATTTGTTGTGGTTCTTTCCGTGCCATGATAGGCGACCCCCAGTTGCCGGTAGGTGTGTGCACGCCTGTGACCCTATCATCCGAGAGGCTCGGCGTAGCAAGGGAAACAGGAGTCACGCAGCATGCCAAACCGGCAGGCGATGACCGCACAGCGTCTGAGGGGGGGGGTCAAGACGTCTCGCAGCTCGTTCGTGCAAGCGGGGAAAGTTCTCGTGTTTAAGCGCGTTGTTGTTCAAGGCAGCTGACACATGATGAAACCCCAAGCCGTGTTGGCCCTAAACGAAACCTAAGCCCTAAACCAGGTTAGGCCTAAACCAAAGCCCTAATTCGAACCTAAACCAGAAGCCCGAAACGAAGTCGACCCAGAACCCAAGCCTCAAACCGTGCTAAACCCTTAACCAAACCCTTACGTCCGAAGACCTAAACGCGAGACCCCCCCGAATCCAAGACCTGAGCCCTAAGCCGAGTTGACCGTTAACCCCAAACCGTGTCGATCCGAAACCAAGAACCAAAACCTAAAGCCTAAACAAAAGCCGAAACCAAAACCAAAAGCCAAAACCACAAGCCTAAACATGCAAGGCTGGGGAGAGCGCAAGAAAAAAAGAAAACAACAACACGTCCTGAGCCTGGCCGGGTGTGCGCCCGTGGGCCCATGTGGTTGGCACCCGCATGCCCGCTGACCCTGCACAACTCTCAAAGGCTATGTGCGTCGGCTTTTTGGAGGGTACCCCCTTTTTGGCCGTTCAACCAACAGAAATCACCATAAAAAAGACAGACCCATGTGTTCGAACACGATCTCCTCCCTTTGACTCAGAGGGTGCTGGCCACTCTCGACTCAGATGGGCACCGTGGTGCAAGTCCTGGAAGTAGTTCACAGGCCGGGTGGTCGACGCTGTCGCAAAGCGCGGCCGCGAAAGGCCGAGACGTTTGCTTGCATCAACAGAATGTTGCAAGGTATTTGCTACTATGTTTCTTGGCAGCTTGGGCATCCCCAATGCGATTTCCAAATGATGTGGTTCAAAGTGGAGTCCAAGGCATAGCTAAGGGGTAACCAAGCAAGAATTTGTACCACCTCGGGTCTCCGAAACATTGGCTTTGGTGCAGACATCATTCCAGAGTTAATTACTGTTTTTATGCAAGCTTTTGCTGCTTGCTCCTAAGAATGAAGGACGGTTGACCGGCATTTGAATTGATCACACGTGTGCTCAGAGTGAACCATGCAGCGATGCAGGGATGCATGTGTGTGTGTGATGTCAGAACTGAAGCCCTGACAGCCGATGAGTGCATGTGCCAGGCAAGACGAGAAGCGAGTGCGGGGAAGGCGCCGGCTGATCCGATTTAGTTCCAAGATCGCCTAATCAAGACCTGGGTAGGACAGTTCCAACCCATGAATAGGTGCTGCCGTCCTTGTGACTTACAAGATAAGCAGAATTGCCACAGCAAGTCAAGGTGCAATCCCGATGAGTAAGTGGTTGCCTTTTCAATTGGGCACAAGCATGCGCAATATGCACTCATGCTTTGGGCCAGCCTGTCGTGAAGCTGGTTGTAGCAGGAAAGGGTTGCTTGTCTCTGGAACGGCTGGGGCAAGTGACTCAAAAACGAGCCCTGCACCAGCAATTGTACTTAGTATGCTACTGATCCAGAGTGCGCAGTTGACAGGAATCTCTAAGAACGTCTTCCGGAGCAAAGTAGATGCCGTGAATCGGGCTTCTCTTCTCTGCTAGGATCGAAGAGCCGGCCGGGTGGATATCCATTGTCAGCACGGAGGACTTTGACCTGCAACGCGAAACCATTTGTGTGCCCCAAGGGGTCGATGGATCCTGGTGAGGTCATCGGCTGCTTCGCATATGGCTTACCGCTTCCTTTTGTATTGGTGATTGTGGTGACGATTTGCCACAATGCTATCCATTAATGGCACCCCCAGCACTTTTCCTCGACGGATCAAGGGCTCACTTTGGCCAACGGCTTCTTAAGACAGTTGCGCTAGACCCTATCGGTACACCACTGAACACTGCTCCACCCATAGGTGTCCTGTTTGATTCTCTTGCTCAAAAATAGACGGCCCTGGTTTACCTGGTGGTTCAATCATCTACCAGGGCCATCCATCTTCCAAAAAGGACACCTATGGCTCCGCCCTTTTGCGCCCAGTGGGTTTAGTCCCTTCCATTTACGAGGGGTTCCATTTGGGGTACCCATTTTTGACCCACACCCATTTCTCCCAATGCGGCGTCCCTTGAGGACGGGAACCGCTGGGCGCAGCGCGACCTGGCGCGGAGCAACCGCTGGGCAGTGAACGGCCAAGAGCAGCTGCAGAGCCTTCGGAGGGAGCTGCAGCTCCTCGAGGCCTCAGTCCTGGTCTCGATTGGGGAGGGGTGGGGTTGGGTGGGGTGGGTGGGGTGGGGTTGGGGGGTGGGGTGGGGTTGGGTGGGGTGGGGTGGGGGGTGGGGTGGGTGGGGTGGGGGGTGGGGTGGGTGGGGTGGGGGGTGGGGTGGGGTGGGGTGGAGTCGTGTTCTGCTGGGCTCATTACTTTACCATGATCAAAGGCTCCCCCGTTCAGTGATGGGTTCAAGGGAAACCACAGATTCCATTTTCTGACTTTGATAACCCCTAGATTGGGAGGATTGGGAGGCTTGTCTTTGGTGCATTTTGCCAAGGGATGTTAGGACATGTTAGAACTTTAACTTTTTGCCAACCAATGGGTTTTCCATTCCACTAAAAGTTAAACTTTATAATAGGGGAGCAGAAAGCGATCGAGTTGTTGTAAGGTAGCCATGCTTGGTCCGTGTTTCAAGACAGGCCGAAGAGAACCATTTACTCAGCAAGACACGCTCGCCTGAGATTTCAGAGGCGTTAAAGCGATTCCGCAGAAGAGCCGCGTGCGAAGTTGTGCTTCGGATTGGTGGTTTGGGGATTTGAAGCCCTGGCGTTGCCTCAAACCACCCAAGCCAGCCCAAGACTTGCACAACCACCTCTCTGAAGCAGCCCAAAAGCTACTGCAAAAACGCGCCGCACGCCTCGCGCAAATCAGCTCCAAGCCAACCCAAACCGACTCAAAGTCAACGTTAAACCCTCCCAACAGCATCCTGGATATCAGCCCTTTACCAAGCCTAAAGAAACCCCAAACAAACCCAAGACCCGCCCTCATTATATAAGACCTCAGCAGGCTAAACTCTCACCCGAAACCAGCCTCGAGCAACTCTGAACTGCCGCCAAATCGACGACAATAGGCAGCGCCAGTCCGAACGAGGCCATCGATGCTGGGGATGCGGCCCACCAACCCAACCCCCAACCTAACCACCATGGCCCCAGAGAATACCGCCGGTTGCCCCCAACCTGAGAGCGAAGCAAGGTTCGCAGCCTTTAGAGCCACATGAGGGAGGCCTTGTGCTGGGCCGGGCTAGTAAAAAGCAGGTTTGGTTGGCCAGTTGTTTCCCGCCCAATAGGTTTAGGGTTCGGGCTGTTTGGTGTTCAACGAGCGAGGGAGCGAGGGAGGGAGGGAGGGAGCAGTGTATGAAGTGGCGGTTCAGCACCATTGCCACTGGTGTCGCAAAGCAAGGGTTAGGCGCAATAACCTTGGCTCAGCTGCCTCAAATGCGCGTTCTGACTAGATGGCAGGCTGCAAGCAAAGACGCAGAGGAGGCGCAGCGGATGCAGGAGCCTTGTGCGCGACTTTTTTTTTTTTTGAGAGAGCCAACCGGTGGGTTCCCAAGGCTCTCTGGGTACAGCCACTCAGGCCGATCAACCCAAAAGGATCGCTCCTGACAAGCAACCACAAGGGCATTCCCAAGCCAACCATGTACTGCAACTGGCCCTTACCAGAATGGAATCAGCATCAGTGGATCAGCTGAACCTGGCTGGAGCCAACCCAAATCTGCGGAAGGGCATTGCAGGAGCTGCAGACGGCCCGAGAGACCGCGGAGGCTGAGAGGGCTGAGGAGATGGACAGAAGGGAGCGAGAGCTTCGGGAGATGCAGGAGAGAGCTTGCAGATGATTTGAAATTCAGAGTGCTCAATTGCCATGCCTGTTCTTGTTGGACGGTACCGAGCATGATGACTGTGGGTTTGGTGACGGTGATGATTCTGGTGAAGGTGGTGGCAATCATGATGGTGACGATGATGACGAGGAGGGGTGGATGAGGTTTGTCGTGGAGTGATGATTCAGTGATGATGATGATGATGATGATGATGATGATGATGATGATGATGATGATGATGATGAGGATGAGGATGAGGATGAGGATGAGGATGAGGATGATGATGCTGATGCTGATGCTGATGCTGATGCTGATGCTGATGACCTTGACGATGACGATGACGATGACGATGACGATGATGATGATGATGATGACGATGACGATGTCGCTGACGATGACGATGGCGATGATGGTGATGGTGATGGTGAGGCTGATGCTGATGCTGATGCTGATGGTGATGGTGATGGTGATGGTGATGATGGTGATGGTGATGGTGATGGTGATGGTGATGGTGGTGGTGGTGGTGGTGGTGATGGTGATGATGATGATGATGATGATGATGATGATGATGATGATGATGATGATGATGATGATGATGTCATGTTATCCTTTGTGACAGTTTGAGCGCAACGAAGCTTGTCCATGCATTCCAGGCAACACTATGCACATGTACTTGGTTTCAAGCTTATCGTGGCTTGTGTGTCACTTCCACTTCTAATGCTTTCTGATGCAGCTCTAGCTTACAAGCCCTGACATGAGCTCTCTCAGAATGGAGTGCTACCACGCACATAGCAGTGGCTCTCCGAGGTGAGCTGATTCAATTGAATTGCTTTTGCCCCCCCGCTTCACAAAGCTAATGTAGGCGTACTACAGGCACCTTTCTCAAGAGCAAGGTGGGACCAAGACAGGGTTGCTCACCTCTTGAAAGCAGAGCCAGCCACCAGGCTTTCCACTTTCTCCAGGGAGTTGATGCGCACCAAGAGCACAAGACCCAGGGTTCCGGATTCTCTAAATTTTCCCCTTTGAATATGTCAGTGTTGCTAATCCCACTCCTTGAGTTTTTGGGCTTTGTGAAGACCATAGCGGCAAACGGCAAGTTTGGGCGATTTTCGGCCAATCCACTCAGTGAGCCTTCCGAATTCCATGGCCATTTTTTCGCGAGGACCGGCTGCGGAAGACCGAGCTCCAGCTGCACTCGGCGCAGGTGGCGGCGGACGGGCCCGGGGTCTACGTGCTGCAGAGCGACGTGGATCTGTCGGAGGGCTGTCAGCGGAACTCCAAGAAGGTGGGCCGCCTGAGCGCCGGCCAGGCGCGAGGGTAATGTTAACCCCGGATGCAGAGCAACCCCTGGTTGATGAATAGGGGTGATTCCCCATTTTTGTGGGGATTCAGACCGCTGTTGGAGGGAACATAATGGAGCTGTTGCCACTGAGAACCAAACACATTTGGCAGAAGCCAAACTCCAAATCAATACGCCCCTCGAAGCCTTCAACTCAGGGCTCAAAAATGTGCTCAACGGCAGGAACATCACGATTATAGCAACCAAGGCCAGTTTAGGGTCTAGAGTAATTTATTACTTTGATGGTTAGTATTATCATCATTTTGTTATTTTCATCATTGCTAGTTGAACCATTTGACTCATTGTTTGCCAGGATCGCAGGTCATTTTCCCCGCCTTGGGTAAGGCTGAAGCCGGCCAGGAAGTCCAGGTGTTGGAGGTGGCGTTGCGGGAGGCCGAGCGCCGGGTCCGGGGCCGCCTTTCGGGCGGCTGGATCTCGCTGCTGGACACGGCCGAGGCCAGTGAGTCCTGAGACGGGTGCGTGGGCGCGTGGGTGTATGGATGGGTTGTTTGCCTGTAGAAAAAAATTGTGTTTGGCATGTCTAGCGCCATTATTTTGCAAAGGACTCATGGCAAATGTCTAGCGCATCTAGCACGTGCTCAGCATGGGTCTGTTTGGTTCCGAGTGCATGTCTGGCGCGTGTTTGACCTGTGCCTGGCATATTATGACTGGTATGTTCCTAGGAGTTAAGCTCCACCATGTGTGCAGCGTATGCCTTGCTCATTCATGTCCGAATATGTCCAGCGCATGTCTAGTTTTTACCTAACATGCAGTAAGCATTGCTCTGGCCTAGGTCAATTATGTGCAGTTTACCTCTACAAGTTCCCTTTGCTCGCTAGCACTACTACAAATATAGCTCCACAGGCTAGCTTGGGTTCGGGATGTATTGGGGGGAGGAGGCGGAAGGGGACACAGCAAAATGTATAAATGTATAGTAGTTGAGATATGTCCTTCTCAATCCATTCATGTATATTTGTTTGCGAGCGCATGTAGATGTGCACGCCATGCGTTTCCAGATGTGACGTGTTGTTGGACAGTGCGCGCGTGTAGGTTTGTGTTTGTGTTTCTTTGTGTTTCTTTGTGTGTGTGTGTTTGTGGGTGGGTGGATGGGTGGGTGGCTGCCTCTGCTCTTCTAAACTAATCATTGAAGGCTCTTACTTGAAGACATTTTGAGCGAAAACATGGTGCTCAAGAGGGCTGGCAAAAATGATGTGCTTTGTGGGCCTCCGAATGGAGTGGGCAAGTGTGACATTACTTTCGGTTTGCCTGATGCATTTCCGGTATTGGAGATGGTACGTGATGACGATGATGATGACGATGATGATGATGATGATGATGATGATGATGAAATACCCTTCTGTCTTGCCAGGGCTACAGGTGGGCGCAGAAGCAGCTATTTGCCACCAACGAATGGATCGGTGCCTTGGCTGCCGATCTTCTGACCAGGGGGCAACAAGGAAGTGCAGCCAGTCGACGAGTTGAAGAGTTGCCTGCATGCCTTGCCATCCTAAGTGCAGAGCCAAGACAAGGCGAGCATCACGTTCTTGTGGTCAGCAAATGGGGCATCCAGAAAGCGATGATATCTGGGTGAATTATAACGACCTCACACGACCTCACACGACCTCACACGACCTCACACGACCTCACACGACCTCACACGACCTCACACGACCTCACACGACCTCACACGACCTCACACCGACCTCACCCCAAATGATGGTTTATATGGGGAACAGCCCCCCAACCATTTTTTTCAGGTTGGGGAAATATTCGAATTCACCCAGATGATATCGGGACCAGGCCAGCTGACCGCCAACGCGGGCCTCACGGAGATGAAAGCGCGCTGCGCCGGCCTGGAGGCGACGGCCTCGGACGGGAAGGGGGGAGGAAGCGGAAGGCCGCTGCGAGAACGTGGGCGTGTCTTGCGTATTCCAAAATAGCGGAGGAACATAGCCATACAGATTTCCACTAAATAGGGGAACAACATAGTAGTACAGGGTTCCACTTTTTGACTACACCCAGGGAGTGGTTGGTTTCCCCAAAAGGGAAACCCTGGGTTTAAGTGTACCTTGGGGTAGTCAAAAAGTGGAACCCTGTATGGGTATGTGTCTTTTTAGAAGGCCGCAAACAAATTGGCGGTCTTGATGAATACGTGGTTTCCCTTTGAATTGCATTTGAAAGCAATGCTCAAAAGGGTGGCTTCAAGGAAGACATAGTTCACTGGCAGTTGTTTGTTACTTACAAAGTGTGAAGGAGTACGAGATTGCCGCACTCTTTGACGGTGCGTCCCAGAATCTTAGCGTGTAAAAAAACTTGATCCTTCAGGCTAAGGATGGCCTTTCAAGGTAGAACAGGCTTAGCTTGCTCCCAGAAATCAATTGCGGAGTCATATCCTGTCAGAAAAGGGGTGGCCTGTGCGATCGAACCGGCGTTTTCGGCTCAAACTTTGGGCGTGCCCAGCACGCGCAGTGACACCCAACAGCACATCCATGCGAGCTCATGCAGTTGAAGCAAAGAAATTGGAGCTCACCAACCCCAGCCACACCAGAGCGGGTGAGCGGACCAGCCCCAAAGGAGAGACAACACAGCAGTGTTCAACAGGCAGCCCAACCCTTGACCCACCCGCACACCATGAGTCAGCTTGATGCCACGCAGCAATCTAGAATCTAGCTTGCCATGTCTCTCAGATTGTCTGTCAGCATGCTAATCCGTCATAGGCGTTCTTCTTCGTTAATCATGACAAGCCGTTGAGCCAAGCCTACGTGGATTTCTCCACGCCGCACAGTTTTGCCATGTTCTGCTCCGTGGTTGAAGCTGATGAAAGGAAGGCCCCGGCAGGCCGGCGCAGAGTGTTCGTCCGGTGAACCTGCAGCCTACTCTTGCGTTCTCGCTCACTCACGCTCATATTCGCACCCGTCGCGCCAATGGTCGCATGGCATTTTTGAGGCGTGAGACGGACACTTTGCAGTTCGCTGCCTGAAGGCTGGGAGCAGCTGGAGCTTCGGAGATTCATCGAGGAGTGCATGTCCGAGAAGCTGAGGACCGTTGCAGAGAGGGGGGCGGCTTCTCTCAATTGACTGCTCAGTTTTGAAGCGATGTTGACTTTGGACTACAAAGGGCCGACGTCGAGCGGGCCTATTGCAATGGACCAGCTTGGTTGTTGAAGGGGAGAACTGCTGCACTGCATGGCATGCCATGACTTGAGTTCTAGTCACTTGGTTCTAGGCGCGGCAAGGACAGTCAAGGACTCCAGACAGGTTGGCTTGCAGCCCGGGAGGTCGTTCCATTTGTCAGCTTTTTCTCTTTGCAGTCTGTGTTGCAAAGGCACTATCAGGCCTGCCCGTAATAAATCAGACTACATAAGCAACGCAGCCGGCATACGCCCCGCGTGTTCCTGCCATCCTACTTCGGTTCAGCCGCCCCGCAGGGCGATCGACGAGAGACTGGCAGCGCTGGAGATGAGCCCGCTGGACGTGGAGCTGCCGGTAGGGCGCCAAGCACGGTGCGTCGACTCTCAAACCGCTCAAACTCCTTGACCGTTGACTAGCTGTTCAGAATATGAAGGTTAGCTTTGAGGTTTATCCAGGGAACGAGGGAGGGTGTTTATTCAAGTTGTTGCTTGTTTTGTTGCTTTCGTCGTTTGTATCATGTGTGTGTGTGTGTGTGTGTGTGTTCGTTAGTTTGCACTTGCCGCAACCCCAATGTGCCAGAGACGTCAGTTTTTCCTACTGACTTCAATCGCGTTAAGCCACACCTGTCGACTGAAGTTGACCTGACAGCAAGATGCCCAAGTTTGCGAGTTTGGGTGGATGCTTTTCCGGATCCCCTTTCACAAATTGGCCCAAAGCTAGACCTGAAGTTGCTTTCAACTGACAGTTCCAATCTTGCTTTTCTCATTGCTTCTTTGCACGCCTTCTTTCTTTACCTTCCTGTCTCGTTTTGTTTGTTTGTCCTGACCTCTTCACGGTGGCTCATTGCTTTGCAGCTACCCCTGGAACATGGCAGCGTCGTGATTCGGGGTCATCCAGAGTTTGAAGTTTGTCCAGACCAGTTCAGACATCTCCAGCACATTCAAGAAACAGAGAATGCGTTTGCAGCTATTCTGGAGGATGGCAGTGTTGTGACTTGGGGTGATCCAACCCGCGGAGGAGACAGTGGCTTTGTGCAAGACCAGTTTCCGCACGTTAGGCAGATACGTGCTACTTGTGCAGCTTCTGCTGCCGTTTGGGAAGATGGCGGCATTGTGATCAGCTGACACGCGTACAGCACATGCAGGCAACGACAGACAAGCTCAAGGTCCAGAAAATCACTGAGCACGTAGGTTTTGCTGCCCTTTGTCGTGGCTCGGGGTCACAAGGACTTTGGTGGAGACAGGTGTGCAAAACTGTCCAGTCCATCAAAGCGACTGTCACCCCCGTATGCCGGATGACCCCAAGTCACCACCCTGCCGTCTTCTCGGATGGCAGCCAAAGCTTCTTGGATCTGCCGGACATGCCGCAAATCGTCTTGCGCGCAGCTACTTAAGCCGCCGTGGCTTTGATCATCCCAAGAAACAACTCTGCCATCCTCCAGGATAGCAAAAGAAAGTTCAGCGGCCTGGATGATCTGGGAGCGTTGAAGCCTGTGGAGTTGAAGTCTCGGCGGTTGAATCTCAGTCCGCACTGCTTGCCGAGGGTGGTATACCAAACAAAGACTTCTGTGACCGAGACATTCTGCAATCCAAAGTTGCAGATGTCGCAACATGTACCGAATCGGAGCCTTCTCCTGATATTGCCTACATGCCTCGCCCAGCCTGCGCATTTCGCATTTGGCTGGTTTGGTTGAGGGCCCTGACCACGTTGCAAACCCACAGGGGCTCAATCAAGATGTTACCTGAGCGAGTGTTCAAATCCTTTCAGACTGAGACTCAGGTGCCGCGGCCCCAGCTTTGCATTCAGGACAAGGCACGGGCCACGCCGGCCATTTCCGTGGTCAAACCGCACATTTCTTTGGCGTTGTTTCGGCACGGGCGAGTGAAGCCTGGGGAAAAGCGACCTGAGGGATCGATCTTTGAGTTCAGATTGGCGAGTCGGAGCTGATGCATATTTTTGGCGTTTTGTTACGCACGGACAGTGTTATGTCTTGTGCCTGGCACTTGTGAATGTTAGTCAAGCTGTTCGGTCACTGTTGAGCCTGGGCAATCTCGCAGGCTCTGTCATGAGGTGAGGATTGGGCAAACTGATTAGTGAATTGGATCATTTTGACGGCTCTTGCGTCCAACATGGCATGCTTTCTTTCAATCCAAGAGTTTTTGTTTAGAGCAGGACACTTTGTTTGAATTCAAGGTCTCCCCGACCAAGAAGCATGGCACATGGCATTCGGTCACCAGGCCTTAGCAGAGCCGGACCTGGAAGACCAATCGCCAAGAAAGGAAGGCCTGGGCATCGGTACAGCGTCGTTGCAGGGTGCCCCAACGGAGACACGTCAGCAACATCATAGGGCCGCGTGTATGGCATTCCGGTCTTAATTCCCCTCTCTTTGTTCACGGGGACTTCCTCTCGACTCGGAAGGAATTCGCGGTAGGCCTGGACTAAGCTGAATTATAAGTCGCAGATTTGTCAGGTTCTGCTTTGGATACGCGTGTCAGTTTCGGTGTGCCCCTGCACACAGGGGGCATTCCCATTCTGTCCGGTAGCTGAAGCAAGTCAAGTAATCGGGAACATTTCTAGCCTGCTCCGTTTCCTACTGCGATTTTCGACAAAGAGACCTTCGATAAACTGACCTCACTCATGATGTTGGCTGTGCATGGCACGCGTTCTTACATGTAGCCTGCCTGCGCACAACCCGCCGAACTGCCAAGGATCTCGGACACTAGTTTCTGTGGTTTTGACCACGAGCTGTTGACACTGGGTTAGGGCACAGCTCCTGGAGACAACAGTGATCAATGGCTGGATGTGTTCAATCAGAAAACTTTTGCAATGCGTGTTCGCAACCGGCTGATGACATGCACCGTTGCCGGCAGGGTTCATGCAGAAGCATGGACTTCGAACACGTTCTGAAATCATCCTGGTAAGTCCTCAAGCTGCACATATAGTCTCACGACTTCTTCCTGGAACCACAACACCAGGGTTCATCCCCTCGAATTCACCACCGACTCCTCCCGTTTTCGACTTTTCCTGTTTGCAAGGCCCGCATGGTCTTGAAGAGCTCCACGGTGTGCTTGTTGTTTTTTTTTCTTCTGCAAATGGAAGGGCGTGACAGATGTCAGATGTTCTATAAAACATGTTCTCGTACATGCCCAGGGCGTCAGTGCGCGGAATACAAGTTCAACCCCTCCGTTTGGGACTCCATCGTGGCCGTGGGCTTGGGCGTGCTCACCTGGCAGGAGTCCTTGTCAGTGGCCCTCTGCGCCTTGGTTCAAAGATCTTTGCAGACAAAATTCGTGGGCAAGTCGTGCGCCGAGTTCTACCTGCCCTTTGTGGGCAATGTTGGTGTTGTGCGTTGCTTGGGTCGTGTTTGCTGTCCGTGCGTCCGTTGGGCACGTATTGTTGAATATTGTCGGGCGCGCGATGTCAAATTGGGTGTTGGTAAGCTTGTCATTGTTTTACGACAAGTCCCTTCTTGCAAGCAAGATTTGTCATTGCCCAGACTTGGCCAGACAAGGTGGTCTGTGGTCTATTCTGGTGGAGGGCTTTTTTGTCCTCATCCTTTACGACAACATGACGCAAACAGTCTTCGAGGATACTCTGGCAGATGAGATGAAAGAGTGGAGGATGCATTTTGGCGCATGCCTCAGCATGACTGCCCAACCGCTCGCAGCATCAATACCCCAAATTTGCCACACGCATTCGCGTTCGCTAGAAAAAGATGCCCCAAGTGA